GCTTTGGGGGATCTGAGCAGGCTGTGCTTTACTAGACCATGGGGCAATCTTAGATGTGGGGGATGGTTGAGCTCACCTTTCTCCCAGATCAGTAGAGACATTCATGGGCCTCTGGCATGTGGCCTTTAAAGCCCACGGGCTGGTGTCTGTTGCCAAACTGAATCGAGTACATTTCAGAGTGGTAATATGATGTAAACAACTCAAACAGGAAATAGTGAATTAGAGCATCCAGTACAGCTTGAGCTACCCAAAGGAACTGACCTATTTCCTCCCTTTGCCCAACCCAGCATCTCCTGCTGTGGCCATTCACATCAGTAATCACCAGTAGGAGTGGGTATCATCATTGGGAGCCACTGATGGATTTGCCTGAGTCTGGGAGCCCAACCAGGGTTACGGAAAGAGGGTGGGGGTCCAGAGGGATCTCTTCATTCAGTTGATGGATTTTGCCTGACCCATGAGCTCACCTAGGATTATCAGCTGTAGATCCTTATTTGCCTTTCCAGGGAACTTGAAAAACTACTTCTGTCTGAGAGAGGAAAAACAGTAGGAGAGCCTGCAAAAGGCAAATAGGCAACAGTTCCTGGCACTGCCTGTGGACTTGAAGAGTGGTATAGTGGGATGCAGGATCTAGATTACAGCCATGTAAGGCCTGTCTCCCTCTCTTCCCCCACACTAGACTGGAATGAAACAAGCAAAATAAGAAGGGAAATCTGAGACTCAGGCTGAACTGCATCAGGCTGAACAGTTTACATTCTTGTCTGCCATGATATCCTCCTCCCAGCTTAGTCCTTATCTCTTTGACCTTGCATAGCCAGCATCAAAAATGCTGATATTTTTTRCAGAGGAATTATGGAGTTCAAATGAGATGGCACTGCAAGGGGGAAAGAAATATGCTCACAATATGTTCCTTCAGTACTATGTGGAATGAAAAGCAGAAACACAGAATGGTTGAGGTTGGAGGGCATAATGAGAGAGTGTTTAGTCCACCCTCYTCCTCATGCAGGGTCAGTCAGAGCAGATTGCTGAGATCCATGTCCAGTCTAGTTTTGAATGTCTCCAAGGATGGAGACTCCACAAACTTCCCTGGTCAATCTATGCCAGTGTTTGACCATCTTCAGAGTGAAAAAGTTACTTTCATGTCCTCTATTACAAATTGTGACCATTACTTCTCATCCTGTCACTTGGTACTGGTGGGAAGAATATGATTACATCTCCTTTGCTCCCTACCCCAGTCAGCTTTATACATTTTCGTAAGACCCTCCCCGAGTCTTCTTTACTCATAGCCAAACATTCCCAGCTGTCTTGGCCTTTCCTCCCAGCCTTGTCCTGTCTTCATCAAGGAAAATCTTCCTGAGTTGTTCTGGATCTCCCTACACTGGAACACACATGAAAAACTTTCATTTAAACCTCAGCCCTATGAGAGGGTGGCAGCAACTTCCACCCAGCTGATAATCCATCTGCACTGCTCATTGCACTGACCCGGGCCAGGCACTGCTGAATAGGGGCCTTGCTAGTGCCRTGTGAGACTGAGCAGAAAACGCTTGTTGTAGTGGTACAAAATTTCAGGACCCACTGACATCAGCAGAGTAGGACCATAYAGTGTAGGGGTGGTTTTTCTTAAATGCATCGTTTTTTCCACTTTGGGGTATCTGATGCAATAACCATGTCACTGTTTTTCTCAGTCACATCCTTCCCACATGGCAGTGGAAACATCACTTCAAACCAGTATTCTGGATGCCCTCCTTTTCCCCACACTCCCACTCCAGCTCTGCTTGCCATTAAGCTTTCTTCATATTTAACACATGCTTATTCTTTCCATTGGCTGCAGAACTTCTGCAGTATTCCTGTAGCTTCTGCAGGTTCTAGATAAAGTTTTAAAAGTGAAAAAGAAAAAATCACCAAAAGCCTTCATCTGACAACTTGACATCCTCTGGCATGATATATTCAGGCAGTTCCTTTGGGCTTTCTCTTGCCACAGAACTTCTGTCCCAGGTGGGGTCTCCACTACATGGAAGAAGATCAGGCTACCCACACATACTGCCTGTGCTTCAGTCAATAAAAAATATGACCCCTTGGAAAAGTACAGAGATGAGTCTCACATCTTGTCTCTGGGAAGGGGACAAGCAAAGGAGAATGGGGAGCCTGTTTTAATTCTTGTACATACTAAAGACGTCATTGGGATTGTATGCTGATCCTCATGGAAGAATTTTTGGGGAAGTYGTCCTTCACCACCTTTTGTGCAAAAGGAATGGGTGATCTCTCTTCCAGTACGACTCTGCCTACCCTGTGGTAAGATACAGATCACTCCCTCTCATCACAGAGTTAGGGCATTGCAGGGGAGAGGGAGGATGAGCCTGTTTCAGAAGGAGGGGAAATTCCCTATGTAAAGTGATCTAAATCAAGATGAGGATGTTGGGAAAAACATAATTTCCATGTCAGTGTGGTAGAATTTGGCCTCCCACAGCTAGAAGACTGGTGGAAAAAAGTTTGCTCTGCTGTGCAATTTCATCCTTCAAAACCAAGTTACAGTAACTGCTGTGGACATTCCAGGGTCCACAGCTCATGAGGATCAAAGGCAGTCACAACCAGCCACTGCTGGGAGTAAATCAGGCAGGAGGCCGGGCCTCGCAAGCAGCATTTGCAGTCAGGCAACACTTAGCCTTTCTGAAGGGCGCTGTCAGCAACAGGAGCTTAGGGAGCACTTCAGGTTGGCAGGAGGCAAGCAAGAACAGATCCTCCTGTTAGCCTTTTTTTGGGAGGGGGCGGAGGAGGTACACACTGCCAAAGGAGCTGGTTTGACAAAATCAAGGGCTGGATGCCTCTGTGTAGCAGCGTAATGGGAAAACCCTTCGAGAGGCAGGAAATCCTGGAGGCACTCCCGTTGGAGAAGACTTGTGTGCAGTAGGAGATCAAATGGGGACTCCCCCATGCCCGAGGCCCAGTGGAGATAGACAGTAAGAAATGATGCTCCAGCATCCTTTGGCATATTTCCTTGTAGTTGCCATGCCCCCCAGAATACCTTAGTAACTTTTTCCTTAAACCATACCAGGAGTGTATACCAACAAGTGCATTTAGAAAAAGCTTCCCATAAGTTCTCCCTTATCCCTCTGCCACCCATGACCCTGTAGAGAACCCTAAGGCTGGGTCCTGCTCTACAGCCTAAACCCTCCTACGCTGATTTCATGTCGACTTTCCTATAGTATGGATTCCTGAGAGCTGAGCTCATTTCACACAGGCATGTGCATGTATTCCCTCTTCTGGTGACTGACACCTCCAGCATTCCCTATAACTTCACAAATAGTTTCCATACACCAGACTTCTAACTTACTCCAACATCTCTCATCTCCTTCCCCATGGAACTGTGAGAACACAGGGGTTTAAAAAAAGAAAGCAAAAACCCAGCATGAAAAGAAGGGAGGAAAAAGGGAGAAGGACCAGCAGGAAACCAGAGCAGACATTACTCCTAAGGAAGTCCATGACTAAGGAGAAGCTTGGTCTGGTGCCAGCTTGGCCAGCAATGATTCACCTATCTCCTTCCCTCCACTGTTTCATTTTKAACTTGAATATGACATCCTCCACTCCTAACCTGATGTACTGGAGTTCCTTCCACTCCAGAGGCTGGAGRTTTCCCCAGGCAAGCAAGGGAATTCCATGATAACCTCCTCCTTGCTGCCAGTGAAGCAGCCATGCTCTCCAACCCAAGTTTTCAGAGCAGAAGCTTTGACTCCTTCTGGTTGAGAAGATGGATTTAAAACAAAGAACAAAAAAAGTAATCTCAGCACATATTTTCTATCTCTATCCCTCTCCTTTTTGCAGCCAAGATGGCAAAGATTAGTGCTTTATTTGCCTTTCAGCCCAGGTGGGCTGCTCTGCTAGCCTCTGCCCAACTACCATTGTTGCAGGTAAGAGCTGTCGGGATTGCAGCTGCTCTTATGAAAGAAGCTTTGAGAAGTGCTGCAACCAGGCACCCGGCAATGCTGAACCCATTTGCTCATAGTGAAGGAACATGCAAGCTTTTAATTGTTCATGGCAAAGGGAGCTTTTTAATGACTTCAATTAACAGAGAGAACTCCAGTTAGTTCTTGCTATACAAAAGTGTCCACAATTAAAACGAGATTTACAAGTGTCATAACTCTCAGCAGCATAGTCAACAATACAGCCAATCATTACAACTGAGCACCAAAAGAGAAGAGGGGGGAACATCATACCACTGAGGAACTGGATGAAAAGAAAGGACTACGGGGGGAGAAGGTGCAGAGGAAAAAAGAAGTCATTTTTTCTTTTCAGTCGAAATTGATTTTATTCTACAAAATGCTACTCAGTTAAAATTGTAAAAGCAAAACCATTTTAATGTTCTTTCTTTYGTAGCAGCAAGCTTTCTCTAACAAGCTTTTTGTTTTAGTGCAAATACTGTAGGCCTGTAATTCAGTAAAATAACAAGATCAGAAAAGWGACAACACCAGAGAGAATGCCTCAGAGTTGAAATTCCCCAGGACTGCAAGAACGACATCAAGATCACTACRAGCAAAGAAAGGTCCCACTTCAGCAGTCATTTTAAGAACCTCTGTGGCAGAAACTATTTCACTGCAGACAGACAATAAAAAAGAAAACCCATGATCTAAAACTTTTGAGGAAAAAAAAGATAATGGTGCCCCCAAACCTTCAACAATCCTCATGGTCACCTACCAGTCACTGAGGCTTGATTTCACTTCTGATACTTGCTTCACAGCAGCAAAATGCTACTGAGCTTTTCAATTAGTCCCAGGTGAGTGGAATCACAACCAGGCCCTTTCTGTATCTGAGGATCTTAAAGGAGACTTTAGTGACACCAGTAACTTATCGCTCTAATAAAGATGCACTATCCCTTACTGATGTTACTTTGAACTACACAGTATATCAAGATATATACAACAGTTTATCCTCTCACTGAGCAAAAACAATTGGATACCTATTTTCTACACATTTTAATATGGTTTTAACATCAAGTAACCACAAACAAGAAMGTGGAATAACCCTTTAATCATACAGGATAGGAGGGGAACAATTAAGTAAAACAGGATGGGATTTTATTATTATCTTGTATTCTGAGATTTGTCCTGAACTCCACCTACTGTTCACAGAGGAATGATAATGCATCTTTAAAAACATATCTCTTTTTACATTTTATACAGACAACAAAACCCAGATTATTTTATTTAAGGAATCAAATTATTAACCTAAAAAAAAAAAAAGAAGATTGTAGTATTTTTAATGCTTTATTATATCCAAGTCTTGAACAGAAAAAAAAAAGATGTAAACATGATAAATAAATAAGAAATAAATGTATATTGTTCCCCCCACCTCTTAAAATGTTTGACTTGGCCTTCCTAACAAAAATGATTTTGTGTCATGATAATAAGATTTCTTACATTTCAGAAGTCTGTTTTAGAATGACGGAAAAAAAAGCAACAAGGGAAAAAAAAGCAACAACCAAACACCAGGAATGTGATTTGGGAGGATGTTAAATTAATGGCAGGCAGATCTGCTGGAGCAGGCACAAGACGGCTGCCTGCCAATAAATAATAAGAGACCAGGGAGAAGGGAGGTGTCTTAGGTTTGTTTTMATTTTATTTTTTCTTTTCATTTAGGATGAAGGCCAGGTGGATCCTACATACAGTAAGCAGCAAAATTAAAGGTTCAGATGAACTAAATAGATCATTTAAATAATAATTATAAAAACACAACAGAGAGCTCCTGTCCCCAGCATGTTGGTCCTAAATCCCATCACACCACAAGTAGATTGAGACTTACCCAGTCTCCACACCTACAAGAAAGGAATATATGAAGGCAATGCCACAACTGGGAAAGGAGGAATGAGGGCAAAGCTGGAATGGCAAACATCACCTAGAAGCTAAATGCTTCCTTCAGTGCAGCTGCYACTGCTCCTCCCAGTTTGGCATTGATTAATTTAAGGTATTAGGAGAGGCTTTGTTGGGCCAGTCACTAGGAGGCTGACCCAATACCAGCTGAAATTCCCTGGGCCTTTTTCTATTGACTTCAACAACTTAGTTAGCACTAGTTATAACAGCTCCTACATCCCCACTACATACAGAACATGGGAGGCACTACTTTTAGGAACTGGCAGGGAAGGTACTCATGGAAAATATCTTTCAGGGCATGGGAAAGACAATCAGTTCCCAAAGAGCACACCTGAAAACCTGAAAAGAAGAATGTAGGGCCAGACCCAAATGGCAGTAAAGTTGTAACTGCCTGCCAGAAAGTAAACAAAACCAAGGCTGATCCACAAAATACATAAGGCCAGAGACCAGCAATCCCAACACAGACATCCTCTGAGAGACCTGAGGGACAAAACGGGCAGGCACAAGGGTATCTAGGGCTTTTTCCAAACAGTAGGAAAGAATCCTCTTTTCTGAGCAGTTTCACATGGCTCCCATCAGTATCACAGGTCAGGGAAAGGGAGCATCTTGTCCTGTCTCTGCGCAGGTCGATGACCAGGAAGGAGGCAGTGGGCAAGGACCAGCTGCAGCTGATTTTGGTGATGGTTCAGTGACCAAAAGCAAAGGCAGGTTTTCTGTTGTTCCATCAGTTAGATCTGAGGAGGCACCTGACTTACTGAAACCCCTACAAGGGGCRGATGTTCCTGATTTCACAGGAGACAGCAATTCTGGTCAGCTAGCCTCAAAAGTAGCTGCATCATTTTAGGATTCACCCACCAGTTGTCAGAGTTGTGTTCTGCTCAAAAATGGGTGGAAATTACATCCAGGGAAATTTCACTAAAAGTTTTAGATTCACAATGCGGAGTGGCCTAAACAAGCACTTGGCAAAATGGAAACACAGAAACTGCAGTTTCACCTATAGTGGAATCATTACATAAAACCCTAGGAAAAGTGTCTCCTCTGTGCAAACGATGGGAAATTTAAGGTCTAATTTTATTAGAAGTTTTGATATACATGTAAGAACAATAAAACTCTTCTATGAATTCTACTTAAAGTGTAAGCTCAGTTTGAAACCTCTAGCACCAGTATAAGGATGAAAGTGTTTAAGCAATATAGAAAAAGCCTGAATCAAATCAGCTTTATGAAGGAAAATGATCACTCACATCTTTTATTTCTGTCAGGTTTGGTAAATACCTGGGTTTAATAATAATGGTTATAATAAAAAAGCTGAAGTCTACCTTTAGAGCCAAAATAGTGTCCCTTTGAAATTATTCCAGAAATGAGCAGTGGCCAGTTTGAGGGAAGCCAGCCCTGCTGAGTAAAGGTCCAGTTCCACCTGACTGAACCCTATTAATTCCCAGTGGAGTTGGTGGGGACTGCAGCAGTTTTGCATCTCAGAGGACTAGCCCTGTAATTATACGTTGCATTTCTCCAGGTCCAGCCTGAACAAGAAATACCCTGGTTTTGGTTGATTAAAAAAAAATAATATATATATTTATATGTGTGTATAAAAGAAAAAGACAATCTCACACCAAAATAAATAGCTGCCACCACAGCTTCRATAGGCAGGACCAAAGAGCCATCTCCTAAGCAGTTCAGCTGGCAASCTGGGCAATCCTAGTGTGCACAGGGTCGTGGTTTGCCAGTGCCTTGACATCAACAGGAGCTCAGCTTGGCTCCAAGTGGAAATAGGTTACACACATTACTGTTTTCAGTAGTGAACTTCAGCACTGGAGAGCTTGTGCCCTCTGTGAGCACTTGGCAGTAGCAGTTAAGCCCACAGGTTACAGAAGACAAGGACCCAAGACCAGGGAAAGAGCCCTTTGGATTGTTTCTTCAGGCCAATCAACCACACCACCACAAGACCAATTGTAATGCAAAAAACAGAGGCCAAAGACCAAGGTGCAAATAATGCTAATCAATTTTCCTCAGCTGTCAATTTGTCATTTGCCAGAGCTTGTCAGAAGCTCTGTTTTACTTCAAACAGGTCAACACTTTAACCATGCCACTCCTGCCTGGTCAGGACCTGGGGCCTTGTGGCCTGAGCTGTGCTGGTGGATACGTGCAGCTTTGTTTCCCAGCAATGAAAAAAATCAGCAAGGGTACAGCCAGCTTGTTTCACCCTCTCAGCTGCTGCCAGTCTCCATCCTAGATTTATAGGCATGTGGTGCCACCTCTTTTTTTGTAGCATGTTTTGCAAATATGGCCAAGGGGAGGAGAAGATTTACTAACAGGAAGAGATCAGCCTCTGAGTCAGGAGCCCTGATGGGAAGGAAGATGTAATACTCCCTAGACAGCAGGCAGCCCAGGAAAAGTAAACAACAAAGCAACAGACTTGATATCCAGCAAACTACCAGTGACACTGACAAGTGCCAGCCCAGCAGCTTTTTTCTGATACTGCTTTGGCCCTGAGATGCTACCTTGGTTTTTTGAGGAGCCCAAGGGGATAAATAYATCTATATTTTTAAAAAGAAAGGCTTCCACACGAGCCTTCTGCTGTCTCTGTGCCTCAGGCTAGAGATTACAGGCTCTGACCTTGCTGTTGAGCTCTTGGGCTCCTCTTGGTCCCCCTATCTCCCGGTCCTCCCAGCTGTCACCCTCCTGTCAGGCAACCCTACGTGTTTCCCGCAGCTACTCCCAAGAGGAAAGATCCTAACAAGACTTTAGAGTTCAGAGCAGCCGGATGAAATGTAATGGGATCGACAACATTGGAAATCATAAGCAGAGGGGGAGAAAGAGAGTGAGAGAGAGCACGCAAGAGAGAAGTTGTAAGATCAACTAACCAGAATGATTTAAGCACAGAGCACAACCGATCAGGTCAATCCACAAAGGAAAGGGACAACTAGCAACTGTCTGCAGCTCGCCTTCAGTCCTGGCCAGGAGTGCTCCCCGAGTCCACTACGGCCACAAAGAGGTTTCCACAGGCAGTCCCTACAGAGGGGATGTCACCCTCTCCAAACAGCCCTGGCGTGTCAGTCCCACCCTTGTCGGTTCCTGCCTCCAGGGAGCTGGCGTTGGTCCTCACTCTCCTTCCTGGAGCTGTAGCACTTCCCCATCCTTGTTCTTGCTGCCCTTGTGCTTGAACGATCCTGTGCCTGTCTCTAATCCCACAGAGGGGGATCCCCCCATGGTGCTGTGGGGGATGTAACACACTGGCAAAATGGGGGGCTGCAGCAGGATTACAATGCCAGCAAGGTGGGAGAGTTCAAGGAATCTGAGGACTGGTCCCCGCTGCTGCTGCTCCTCCGGTGAGCTTTGGAGCAGGACTCAGAAGGGGARAGAGGAGACTCCTGATCCAACACGTTAGGGTAGGTGAACACCAAGTTGGAAGAGCCAGGAGTGATGGCTGGTGTTGAGGTCACCACAATGGGAGTGTTGAGTGCCTCCTCCCCGTAAAAACCTCCGGCAATGCTGATCGGCTTAATGACAGACCTCTGGGCTTTGTCAAGGACCAAAGAGGAMGATGGGATCTCTTCCTCCACAGGCTCCTGCTTCACCACCACCGCTCCACTCGCTCCAGTCCGAACGCTCTGGAGGCTGCTGGATGGTGGGCTCCGACGTTCCTCAGGGCTAATTTTGCACACAGGGCTGTGAGCCACCAGCATGAACTCCAGCTTCTCCTTTTCTTTCTGGAGCTCAGCGATCTCTTTTTGCAGCACTGACTTCTCTTCCTCCAGTACTTCAGTTTCCTGCAGAMAAAAGGGGAATAAATAAATAAAATACCGAAGGCCGTGGAACTACTCCTCACCTAGAACAGGGCCACCAGTCCAGATCCCATCTGGCATAGGCAGATACACCCCAGACTCTTCGTGAGCCAAACAGACACCAGCTCATTGCCAGTCGAGCATCTTGTGTTTCACGTGTCTATTCATAGGTTATTTCCAAACTTGACCAACCTAAGGGTTTTATAAATGGTCTCACAAACTTGCCCTYATTTTCTGATGGCCAGTTTTTGCCTCTCTGTCTTGGATAGACACCTTAGGAGAGGACCCAGGTGTCTTCCCATTTTTTTTATGTAAGCTAGACATATTCTTTTCACTTAGAGGTAGTGTACAGCAGTCTCTAAACTGTTGTCATTTTATTTCTGTACTGCATATTCCAGTTTAGGTCTGAGACCTAACTCTTGCCCATAGGATTAACACTGGATCATCCCTTGGTGCATCATACCATTAATACATTTACCTTTCCCAAGRTCACACCATGCTGATGGCTCATGGTCAATCTGTGAGCAATTAGMACTTTCCCATATGGGGATCTTGTAACTTCACAAAACTCATGCTCAGTCCTTCAGGATATGACTTCCCACACTGCACACTCCTCTCATTTCTACTGCTTTCATGACATTTCTATAGGATGTCCTGCCTCCCCTACACTGAGAATATCTCCTAATTTGAGGCAGCAGCACATTTCACAGGTGTCCTTCCACTGCTGCTCTACTTGTTAATAAGATCACTGGATAAAACCAGCCCCAGGCTGGTTCTTGACCAGGAGCACTGGAGCCTTTCCTTCAGCTTCTTTCAACACAACCCATTCTTGTCTTCTCTTCAACCAGCCCCTAACCCAACCCTTGGTTCTGGTGCTCAGCCCCACCTTCTTCAGCTTCACTAATTATTACTCGTGCAGCACCAGGGCACACATCTCTGTGGTGCTTCCTTTTTGAAGGAAGTGTTACCCTCCCCACCTCCATCCCAAGGAAAGGTTAGGCCTGAAGGATGTAGCTTCGACAGGTACACATAACATCTGCTTTGTTTTCTGCTGCTTTCAGATGATCCTACCTCTTCAGTGCTTTTGTCMTTAAAGCCTGTAAAGAGCTACAGTGTCATTATTTTCATTTATGAAAGGAGACCAGAGTCAGGGATACATGAGCTAGCAGCTGAGATGCCAGAAGGGAAGAGGACATTTTGGGCATTCAGCAAAGACATTTAGGCTCCTGACTTTGGCTCCCTTCATCAGCTACTGTTGATGTAGGAGCAGTACCACTGGGCAGCCTTGGACGAGGAAGGCAGAGTGTTTGAAGCATCTTCCTTGACCATACCAGTGGAGGAAGAACAATGCCCTTGGAGCTGGTCYGAGGAGTGGGTGACAAGGAAGGAGGAATGCATGCAGAGCACGTACCGCCTGGAGTTTCTCTGTTAGYTCCCGACGCCTGTTACGACACTTAGCAGCTGCCAGCTTGTTCCTCTCCCTCCGGATCCTTCGCTTCTCCTCTTCCTCRGGCGACAGCTGTGGGCAAGTGCCAAGAAAACCCAATCAGATCTGAGCAAGGCATTCCTTAAAGTTTGTGAGGATTTAAATGCAATGCAAAGGAAAAAAGCCTGATCCAGCAGGATGCTGAGCACTCCCCCTCGTCACTGATGTCAGCAGAAGATGAAAGCACACAGTATCTCTGTGCCTGCACCAGGCCTTAGCAGAAGGGTGAGGAGAAGATGGAGCAGGGCACAGGGAGAAGATTGTGTAAGAGGACAGTGAATCTGCACCAAGGCCAAACAGATAAAAGACRCTCTGATTATTTCACAACTTGGGTGGTACGTTAAGCAAAACCAGAGCACGATGTTGTAAGTGCCTCTTTCTTGAAAGAAAATATATGCTGCTTCCCACACAAAAATAGTTGTTCACTTGAAGGTCAGGGATGGTGGATAGGGGGAGACAGCAAAATCAGCAGAGCTCCCATGAAGTCCRTGAAGCAACAATGATTTATACCACCCAAAAATCTGACCTTAGATTTTTGAGCACTCAGAGAGATAACACACTGCTTCTTGCATCAGCAGGCAAGGCTSCAGTGATATCAAGGGCTTCCTGAGGCCAGCTAACATCCTCACTGATGTAAATCAGTAGTAATTCCATAGAAACCCATCCAGCTACACTCTTGCGAAACCAGAGGAAGCGAGCAGGAGCTCACAAGACCTGGTCAAGCTATGTCCAGCTTTTGGGGCTTGAGACAAGGTGTTCCAAACCCCAGCAGCAGCAGATAGGTTTGTTCCAGGGCCAAAGCCAGGGAGGCAGTACAGCAGGGCATGGAGCAGGCGAGCACGGCTGTGCTCTCCACTGCAGCACCCGGCATGCGGGAGCTGTGCAGACAGACCAGCGTGGGGATCCTGAGCATACCCTCAGCCCCGCACCCCAACCTTGTGCCCTTCAGCCTCACCCAGCCCCTGTGTGCTGTGAGGCTTTGGCCTGGTGACTGCAAATGAAAGCAAAACCCTGACACCTGRCAAAGCACCTGTCAGATCTCAGAGAATGGAAAGAAACTCCTCTTCTGAGGAGATTCAGTTTTAATATCTTCATGAGCTGTCAACGTCACAAATGAGACATTCACTGTTTTGCTATATTTTCTTTTTATTAGTTTTGCTCCCAACCTCAGCCTGGCTGTTTTCTTGCCCTATCTCCCTATTTTTGATGTCTACAGTTTCATTGAGTTTACTTCAGCCTCTGGGCATTCAGCACACTCATTTCTGCTTTCCTCAGGATCTGATCTGTACCTGTGATTTCACCTGCACGTAACATGAGCCCCTGGATGCCCATTGAGCAACGTGAGCAAYTCTAGCACTGCAGGACACAGGATCAAGGCATCAAAGCTTTTCCATCACAGTGTCTATCTTAGGGCAGGAGGCACCTCRATTCTTCTGAGCAGCATCTTTCCCCCAGTAAGGAGCTCCTGCAGGCACTGCTCTCCCCTTTACAGATCTACCCACTCACTTCTCACCCGACATGAGTGCAGGGTAAAAATGTATTTGCACACAAGTATCTACAGTGTGGCAAAGCACTGAGCATGCACACAGAAGCTGTGCTGACTTGGGGCCTCTGTGTACAGTTTTCAAGAGCCCTTTCATGCTTCAGAAGCACAGATCTCATTGAAATATGTTTGGAGCAAAACTGCTGCTCTAAGGGCCTTCAGTAATTTTAAAATTATCTGTTTTGGAGATTCTGCTTTGCAAAGATCACACAGACKGGGCAGAAGCCCCTAATCTGGATGTTCTTAACATTTTACCAAGTCTAAAAAGGAATATTCCATCAGTGGTTGCTGGATTTGTTTGAAAGCAGTCGGACTTGGCAGGGTGTGTGCCCCTGCTGCACGCGTTATCCGTAGCTTGTCCAAGCCCAATACGTGCATTCACTGTCAGGGACGTTCACCAAAACAGGCTCCTTTCATAAAGCGTTACACAATGTTTTCCAAAAMGTCTCCGATGTGGTGCTCAAAGCACCAGCCGTGGAAACCTGAGCCAAAGGGCCACAGAAAAGCGCCAGGGTACTGCTTTAGCACGTGTCTGATCAAAAGGACTTGGCTTTGAATGACCCACAATGAACGGCTTGCAAACAAGCCACAGGCCAGGAATTGCTTGGCAGGCATCCTTCAGCAAATAACTCCGAACAACAAATAAAACAGAGAATATGGTGATCTCTTCACGGCCAATTTGTGAACACAGAGGCAGCATTTGTCAAACAAATTAGTTGTTGCTAATTATTCCTCCAGTTCTCATGAGACCGTCCTTGCTTTTGGACACCAGCCCTGCACGCAGAGAACTGGGAAGTAGCTCCAGCTGGTGGAAAAGGCTGGCACGTACTTGAACCACCACGGCTACCCCATCCTTCCTCCCAAAAAYGCGTCCTCAGTGCACCCATACCAGCTCCCCACACAGAGGTACTGCTAAACTCTAACTTTAACCTCTTAGACCTAACCCAGACAGCAACTCCACATAAAATGATCGGACTGTGAATCAAAACAGATGACGTGGAAGTAAAAGTAGGGCTGGTGAGTCTTATTAGAAACAGACCTCACGCACCAGCGTGCGCCCGTGCACGGAGGGTGCGCAGTGCGTCTCACCGCRCTGCTCTGCAGCGACCCACACAAATGCTGCTTGGGAATAACTTGGGCAGACCCAGTCTGCCCAATTTGTTTTTTTTAAAGGAGAAATCAGCCTAGCACTGTGAATAGCTGTTCACCAGACAGCCCTGGAGAATGYTGATTCTTACTACAAAGAGAACAACAGGGTGGATTTCTAGAAAATGAGATGCCTGCCCCTAGTCCACCAGATCCAGGGTCCCAGCTTGATAATCCCATGAAGAGGTGAGCACAGGGCAGCAGTGGTACAAGCCACCCCATCCAGTTATTAAAATACCACTGGGTTTGGAACAGAATAGTCTCTTACGGGATCCCCACCTCACTACTGCAAAAAGATCAAGCGATTATATATCTGTAGTGGGAAGGTAGATTTAGACCCCAGTYGTTCAGAAGGCTCTTCATACTAGAGTTGAGAGGCTCTAGGGAAGCGGTGCTTCCCTGCATGATGCTGGCTGGTACTGGGGCTATGACAAAAATGGAGAGTGGTAGCTGCTACAGTGCTCACAAAAGACACCAGTTGATGTAATTTAGGTGTCAGATTTGTAAATGACCTACATGAAAGCTGCTCTGCTTTCTTGGAGGTTTCATTCTGCCTGGAGTGGCAGAGACACTCAAACTGAAACCCYGGGCTCAACTTCAGAGTTTCACCTGCTTTTGAAACCAAGCCGCAATGTGGCCCGGTGGTGCGAGGTGTTTGATGAAGGTTGGGTAAATCTCACCATACACTGAGGAAGCAGCAATGGAAGTCAGCCTCCAGCTTACACCCTACACCACCCTAAGAAGCCCCAGCACGTGCACAGTGCCAGGGATGGACCTCAGTGCTCCCTGTGGCACTGGGAGTTCTCAGGAGGGGGCAGGGAGGAAAATCTCCATACATTTGTTCCCAAGGCTGCTCTCCCTGCTGCAGTTACCTGCTCATCTCTCCGTCTCCGTCCCACGGTGGTCCCGATGGTTTTGATGACCCCGGGACGCTGGAGGGCCGTGTGTCCGGCCACCGAAGACAGCGGGGGCAGCGGGTGGCTGTAGGGGTGCGAACGCGAGTAAGGGCTTGACATGGAGGTGATGACGGTGGGCTGGACCATCCACTGCAGGTCTTGGCTGGTTGTGATGGCGTTGATCGTGGGGATAAAAGCACTGCCTGATCCTGGCATATCTACTCGGAATTTCTGGGAGGAAAGGCAGAGGAGAAGAGGGACAGACGGAAGAGAAGAAACAGTCAGTGAAAGCAGAACGTAAGTGGTTACTGTGAAACCAGCTAGGCCCTCAGGAGCAGCACCAGCAAGGATCAAAGCARCACCTGAAGCAAAAACACCAGTAGCTGGTGTCTCTACAGCATCCCAAGCTGCCCCTGCCTGCCACAGCACCCTGAGGAAGGCGCTGGGCTCAGGCACTTCCCTTCCGGAGCAGCCCTGCCCTCTCCCAACCCCCTTCCTCTTCCCCCACACACCTCCCCAGCATACCCTAACCCAGCCTCCCCTCCCAGGCACTGCTGCCACCTCCTGCCAGTGCCCACCACTCCTTCCGGCGTGGAGGAAAAGGGGAATTAAGGAGTTTCTAGAGAAACACTTCTCTTCAAGCCCCAAGAAAAGGAAGAGAAACTCCAGCTCTGAAACGCCGTTACCAAGCACAGCAAAGCCACCTTTTACAAAAGGATTGCCCTGAAATTTGGGCTCGCTCCACAGAGGGTTTGCTATGGCAAGAACAGCAGCTTGCTTCTCCTTCAGCAGCTATGTGCTCAGCGAGGAAGCCGGCCCTGGGACGGTTACGTGCGAGGATATGTATTTTAATAGCAGCCTATAAAATAGGTCTTAGGATTCAGATCGGACAAGTTCCCTGCAGCTCTCTGCACTGTCTAGACAAAACAAGGCAGCAGTAAAACCAAGGCAGCAGGTAATGATCGCCTCCAAAATACATGTACACCTTCTTTCAGACAGAGGTAAATCCATCTCGATAATATGCTGGCACTAAATTGCAAGGAAAACAATCGCTTGTCCCCGGAGGGGGAAGCAGGAGAGAAAGAATGTTTTTGTCTATGCTGAGCTCCTTCAGGAGGCTTTCAATGGTTAGACTGGAATTAACACACAGACAGGCCTTGCTCCAGCAATCACTGTGCAAGGGACAGACCTTGTAGGACCCACAGCTGTCACCACTGATTCATAAGCCCTGAAATGATTCCACAAAGAATGTGCTTTCTTGGGTCAACAATTTYGTTTCCTAGAGAAGCGAGAGCYCTTGCATCAGCCTGACCTCAGCTCAGGTAAGCGTCCCCGATAAGGGACACCACTTCCATGCAGATTTCCTTTGCAGGGTGTGCCTACTCAAGCACCTTAAGTGCTTTGTTAAACCAAGGCTACTGCAAATAGCATTTCACATTCTGATAGCTACAGCACTTCAGGCCAGCATTAGCGAGCTGCCAGCAGCTGAAGACCAGGAGATCCAGTCTGGATACTGACAACTGCCGACTTACACCTTTGGACAGCTCAAAACCTAATTAGACAGGACGAGAAAAGGAGTGAGTCAAGTTAGGCAGGCAGGGAAATTACACAGTGGGGATGGCACTGGCACCAAGACCTTGGCAAAACCCCCAACAGGACCTCAGAGATCCAGCTGGAGCTGGAGTCCAACACAGCCTCAGCTCATCCCACGTTTTAGAGTGCATGTCACCTCTCCCAGTTAGTAACAGAGGCTCAGAGCCATAAACTGTCAACACCACACCASAATTTATGGGTGCAAATGCCCTCCTTTGCTCTGCCTGATGTAGGCTGTGACCACATGACACAGGAGAGGATCCCTTGGTGCCTCCATAACCAGAACACAAGAGCACCTTAAGCTCACAGAAGGGAGAAAGTTGAGACCAGTTGAACCACAAGCTCGGCTCAAGGGATGTGAACTCTACTTCCAGATCCACAAGTGACTTCTAGCACAGCCTTTACCTATCTGTGCCACCCTCCCTTCTGCAAAAAGCAGAGAAGTCCTGTCCTCTTTGCAGGGACACTAGAAAGCCAAGACTGCAAACCATTCAGAGACCTGCTGCTGCTTTGCCATGCAGACACCATTTAATTCCAGAGCAAATCTTTGCCTCCAACACCCAACAACATGCTAAAAATTCCCAATGAGGTTGTGAGAGTCAGATCCACCACTAAATCAGATACATAAAATACAAGCATCTGACACAAAAATCAGGCTYCAAGTTATTGCTAAAGTGAGCACTCCATTTCCCATCACTCCAGTATTCAACCTGGGACCCTTCTCTAACACTAGTGCAGGTCTCCCGCACAGCAAAGGGGAGCTGCTCAGTTCAGCCACGTCCCTGATTGCTTGCAGGCATGGGGGGAAGAGACCAGTTCCTCTCTGTGCTATGCTCCTATCACCAGCTTCCCTTCTAATGACTCCAAGTATCTTAGAAATAAAAAAAAGAAAAAAAAAAAAGAAAAACCAACCCAAACTGTGTATTCTATACTTTCCAAAGGCAGTATTTTTCCAGAATAACTAATTAAGGGACACACTGCTGCAGCAGGCTGTTTTCAGACACAGTGTGCTCGGTCTAACACCAGGTTTTACAAGCATTGCTTCCTGCCTGATCAGGCTTTCCCCACACACCTTGCTATGAATGCTGCACCGAATCAGCCCTACCATGCCAAAATGCTGCTGGCTCCCCACACGGCCCAGTGGCCAGCAGCTCCAACGCCTGGGATGCTGCTGGCTGCAGTGGCAGGCCCTGAATTCCCTGCCAGCTCCCCTGCATAGCTCCTTTGAGCACCAGCCTCCTCACATGGAAGTGCCAGACCTTTCCCCAAACCGCAGCCCCAGCTTTGCTCCCCTCTTCCCTCCTCTCTGAGTTTCAATCCCCCTGCCAGCCCGGCAGCACTGCCAGCCCACACCCACCTCCCCATTTCTCCTCTTTCCAGACCCTCTCCTGCCTTCTCTGCTCAGAGGACATGCACAACTGTCCTCTCCTGACCCATGAGAGGCTGCTGGAAATGTACCTCTGCAGCTCTCGGTTCTTCCTGTCTAAAAGGAATTCAGAGCACTACAGAAAGATGTGGTGATAGCAGCTCACAGGGTGACACACGCAGCACGCGTTCAGCCACCAACCCACCGCTCTCCKCCTGACCCAAGCAAACGCAGATAAAGGTATCATTAAAAAACCCCAACAACTAAACAGCAAACAGAAAGAGTCCTGTTATTAACAGTGCCAAGAACTGAGGTCAGTCTGTGCTCTGCCTTAAAAATGGGGTCGGATGAGAGCCTCCTCAGATCCATAGTTGGGGGAGGCTCCAGCGAGTCCTGCCACAGGCAGGGACAGACTACATTAGTAGCTCACAACTTAGCAGCACAGGAATATTTTGAGCTTTGGCTTTGTGGTTCCTTTYTCCACCTTAAGGCTTCTATTCAGCACCCTGTTGTGTCTCTGCTCCACTCTGGACCTTCACTGACATCTGTAACCAAGTGCTGAGCAGCACCAGAAACCAGACGAGAAATGAGTACAACGGCTAGGAAAAAGAAAAATCAAATCCAACAACAAAACAACCAAGAAAACACCTGAAGCATCTTCAACACTACTCAGTTATCAAATACAGGGTATATGTAATAGATCTTATAATAAATACAAAGCCCTTGATGGCTCTCCTGTGTTGAATGTCTCCTCGAAGAAGAACGGGACATAGTGCTGTGGTATCTCAGGGGAAAGTTGACCTCTCTGAAAAAGTACACACACTCTTCCCACTAAAGTCTCTGTTTACCACATGGCAAGACAGTGATTAGGAAAATAGCATGACACGCAACTTAAAAGAAAAATGTTCCAGYGCTGTGCTGTATGGGAAAAAATAATTAAAAAGCATCAAAGTTTTGGCTCAGAGACACAGTTTCCATTTAAACATGTGACTGATGCATCTTTTCTTGCTTTTGGGAAAAAAAAAAAAAAAGCCAATAAAGAAAAAAATTTCAGCAATGAATACTTTCTGTAGTGATAAAACTGCAGATCTCCATAGACCAGAATGAGCAGAACAGCCCGACTGCTAGGGTAAAGGCAACGCTTACATTTGATCCTAATCTACAACATCTGTAAGGATCAAGGGAGAGACAGAGCACAAGGCCTTGAGAAATCTCCCGGATTCTTAAAGAAAACATTTACGTTCTTGCTAAGCCAACGTCCTGCTCAAAGCCCTGTTCCAGATAGTAACCCTAGAAACTGGGCTCTGGTCCCCGTATCAAACGGCACGCACGCGAGCTGCCTGGGGAAGACGCGGAGCCCCACAAAAGGGGGAAACCCAGTTATCGTTCCGGCTGTGACAGCTCAAATGTGAAGCGGTGACGGAGTTTCACGACCTCCTGCAGCAAGTGCCTGAACCCAGCGCAGCTGTTAAATCGCAGGAGGAAAGGGAGAGTGAGGATTTGCAGTTTGCCGGGCGTTTCCAGCTTCTCAACTCCCCTTCCCGCTCCCCCACCTTGTCCTGGCAATTACTGTAAACCAGGGAATAAGGCTTAGCTGAGCGAGAATCCCTGGAAACCCCAGTCCGCAGCCCGCAGAGGGCACCAGCGAGATGCGTTTGGAGCAGGCGGGGAGCGGCAGCGAGTCATTTCTGGTAAAACTTCTTTAATGTGAGGAATGTCACGGGCTGGTACGGCTGGCAGAGTTTAAGACTGGACTTTTTTCCCTTTCTTTTTTTTTTGTTTTTAATTATCCTATGACTCCTCGATGCGAAGGCTACATTTTGCTCACACTGCCAGGTCCTCACACGAGCCACACAAGAAATAATATTGTGAGAAAAARAGGGGTGAGGGGAAGCCCAACTCTGAAAAGGCAAAAAAAGTGTGAGGCTGGGCCAGCTGATGTAAACAAGTTATGAAATAACCCAGGTTTGTATAACTGGCCCGATTGTGTAATGCCTTCCCCAGAAGTGGTGGATTTTGTCGATCTAGGCATATAACTCATTCCGAGGTATTTTCTTAGGAAAAATGAAAGGGAAAAAAMCCCCAACCACACGACTGGACTTTCAGGTCCTTGAATTGACGCCGCTTCCACAGGAAATACCCCTCATTCTCGAAGCGTCGCCCGGTAGCGGGGCTTGCGTGGGGAGCGGCGCCGGACAGTGCGGGGAGCGCTCCGGCGAGCCCCAGGAAACTCCCGCTCGGGAATAGCCACGGCCGGCCGGAGAGCGGCCGGCGGCCCCGGCAGGACCAAGGAGCGGGCGGGCAGCGGGCTGAGCAGAGCGGCACGCCACCGGCCTCGGGCTCCGAGCGAGGCAAAGGCAAGGAGGGTGTCAGCGCCTCGGAGCCAAAGTTTAGCCGGGGGAGAAGCGGGCAGACAACTACAGGCGCTCTAAAGACCCAAAGCCCGCTTCCAGTCATCCCTGAGTTTTCCACGGCGGCTGCAACAACTCCGTGAATAACTCGGGCGGCACCTCCCAAAGTCCCAGCGAAGCCGCCCAAAGTGCTCCGGGCGAGCTCCGGGCACCACCCGGGCAGGCGCGGTGAACGTGGACAGCGAGAAGCTCCCGGCGAGAACAAAAGCAGGAAGGAGGAAGAGTTCGGTGCGCCCCTCTATTACCGACCTCGGAGTCGCCCAGCGGAGCCCTTTGATTTCCGAGCGGGTCCCTCCCGCTGCCGCGGATACCCGGGCGAGAGGCGGGGGCTCGGCACGGGCAGCCGCCGACCCCGCTGCACCTGGGGCCGGGCCGGCGGAGAYTGCCCGACGAGCGCTCCCTCACCGCACGTCCCCGCTCGGGCAGGCCTGCAGCACCCCCGGCCCCGACAGGCGGGCAACTCCGGTCAGCGTCCCTCCGGACGCGTCGCGGCACCCGCTCCAGGGCGGGCGGGCAGGGAGGGAAGGGAAGCGGCGGCGCCCCGCTCGGAGCGGCGGGACAGGGCGGCGGCTGGGGGCAGCCCCGCACCCCGGCACCGCCTGCGCCCCCGCGGCCGGCGCCTCTCCGCCGGGCGCCCGAGCCTTCAGCGCGGAGGAAGCGCCGGCCGCTCCCCGGGCGTGGGGCTGAACTCCCGTCCCGGGAGCGCTCGGAGCAGCCCCTGGAGGGACCGCGGGAGAGGGGCAGTGCCCGGACCTACCTGCTGGGCTGCGCCGCTCGAGTAGGTCTCGGGGTGTCCCGGGGAGCCGCTGCTGCCTCTGGAGGAGGTGTCGAAGTTCCCGGGGTAGTCCTGGTACATGGTCCGAGGTCGGGCCGGGGGAGCCGCGTCCCCGCCTTCCCACACCGACACCCGCCGCTCCCTCGCCGTCTCCCCGCCCCTTTCTCCCTCCCGACCTCTTCGGCTCTTGCCTTTCGCCTCCCAACGCTCACCGCGGAGAGGGGAAAAATAATAAAAACGGCTTCGGAGAGAAGGAAAAAGGTTGGGGAAAAAAGGCAAAAAGAAAAAAAATAATAAAACAGTAAAAACAAAAAGAGATGACAAAAATTAAAATAATAACAATGATGATAAAACTGGCTCAGTTGGCAGCCGAGCGCCTGCGGGACGGGACGGGACGGCAGGACTCGGCGGCGCGGCGGGAGCAGAGCCGTGCGCGCAGGCGGGCGCTCGCCGATGTCCTCTCTCCGCGCTGCCCGGCGAAACTCGCCCCGCCGGCGGAGCGGCCCCGGCCCCGGGGGCTGCAGGCGGAGCGGTTCTCCTCCGCCTCCCCCAACCTCCTCCTCCAGCACCACCACACCGGCCGCCCCTTTTCCCGGCACGGGGTGACTCAGCCGGGTCCCGCGGCTCGGCGGCGCTGCGAGCGGGAGCTCCGCGCGCCCGCGGTGACTCAGAGCAATGGCATCGCCCCGGCCGCGCTCGCTTATTATCCGCCCGCCCGCCGCCGCCGCCGCACCATGTGCACTCGCACACGTCAAACCCGCGGCGTACCGGCCCCACCTTGCCAGCGCGGAGCCTCCCACCTGCCGCCGCGGCGGGGGAGGCGGGACAGCAGCGGAGGGACGGCGCCCGCCTCCGCCGCGCCCGCCGCGCCGCCCGCCCCGCTGCGCCCGCCCCTCCCGGGCCCGCGGTTCGAGCGGCTCGGGCGGGGCGGGCGGAGCGGCGGGGGCAGAGCGGCGCCCTGTTCCCGTCAGGCTCCGCCTCCCCCCGCCCCGCTTGGTCCCGTCCGCTGTCGCACGTTGCCAAAAATGGTCATTTGCGTCGCACGACGCGAGMGCGGGTTTCCTTGCCGCGGATGACGCGCTGCGAGAGGGATTCCCTGGTCGGCCGGGGATTTAAAGGGACAGGCGCACCGCCGGCGGAGCGGAGCGGCGGGGCGGCTGTCGGGAAACAGAACGGAGATCTGGCCTCGCTGACCGGTCTGCCCCGTCGCGGTGTCTCGGGGGGCGATTGATCCAGCCCTCCTCCCTGCGGGAGGGGGSCCGGCACCCGGGTGGCTCCAGTGCTTGGTTCCTTTCACACCGCATCAATAGTTGTACAATCAAGCGTGTACTCGTCTAGTTTTTATAACATTGTTGAACTGGTTTCGTTTTATTTTTATTTCTTTTATTTGTATTGTTTTATATTTCTATTATTTTATTCATTTTGCATTTTCATAATTGTTACATTTATAATTTTAATATATTTTCATTAACTACATTTTATTTTATTTATTAATGTGCGCTATTTATTATTTTAATTTTCTTTTTAATTTTAATTTTTAATCAGTTTTCCTATTTACTTTTCATTTACATTTTTTATTATTTTTATTCTTATTTACATTTTATATCAATTCTTAATTTTATTTTCTCCCCCCTCCCCCTTTTCATTTTCTTTAAATTTCATTTTTGCATTTCTTTTTATTTTTTAAGTGGACTCCTGCATCCTGCTAGGATCTGGCTGTGGAGCCACTCTRGACCTCCAAACCAGAATATGTCACAGGAACATCAGGTGACAGCCCTGGGCTTCCCTCCCTGCAGTAGAAGCTTGTGGGACAAGGACTGTAAGAGCCTGCCTCGGCTGGCTCTGGCATTGCCAGGTCACTGMCTAGCACAGGCTGGAAGGTGGCAGAAGCAGACAGAGCAGAGCCATCCTCACAGAGAACGYGGGCTCTGAGGTGTTCTGCCGCCAATACAGCAGTGATGCTACTTCACAGATTGTTTAAATGCCTCTCTAAGACACCAAATGTATCGTTTCCACCCTCCCTGGAGGATTTGCCCAGCCCTGGGCAAGCCCTTTTTGCTGATAGGGAGGGAGAAGTCATCTAAATTCAAGCTGTAAAWTCCCATTTAAGCTGTCTCAAGGACAAAGTATTTTCCCACAGGAGCCCATCTGAAAGCAATGGGCTTTCCTCCACTCACACTGTGCTCCTTGGAAGGGAGAAGCAGCACCCATCTCAACCCTAGGGCCTTCGACAGACTCTAAGATGAAGCAGTCCGTTAATGCTAAGTTTTCAGAGATCGATTATTTTTTAGCACCGAGCCAGAAATTTGGGACTAAAATTCCTGCCGATGCAGTTTCGTTTTCAGCACCTTCATTTTCCAGGCAATTGAAATTCTCCCTCCAAATTAGCTGGCTTATTTCAGGCAGCACCTGACTTCGGGGGAGGTGGGGAAAGGGCTGTAAAAATATTCTCATGTTTCCAACTCCTTCTTTAAGAGTGAGGGGTGGGAAGGGGGAGAGGTGCTCCGGCAGGCACAGAGGCGTGACGTGGCTTTCCCCTTGGGTGGCAGGTGATCTGCACGTGCTGCTTTCTGCTGGAAAGAGAATTAGTTCAAGATGTGAGAGGAATCAGGCTGCAGTTGTCAAGAGATGAAGAAAGAAAGGGTAAAACAGGCGTTAAAATAAATAAACAAAAGCAGTGGCTGGTTTTTGGCTGGTCACCACCCTTGGCTCTGCCTCCCCCTCAGGTGGAGGATGCTGCTGGCTCCCAGGTTTACCAGATGTTAGGAACCACTGCCATCACCTGAGGTCACCAGCCCTGGCTCTGGTCCTGTTTCACATCAGGCTGGTGGGCTTGTAGAATCCAGGCTGCTGAGCAGCAAGAAATGCAAAAGAATTATTTGGTCCAGGGAGGCACTGATGGCCAGAAACAGGGAAGCAAGATAGGCACGCTGGAGCATTCCTGTTGAGGCATTTTGCAGGAGGGAAACAGAGGTGTTTTTCATCCCTCCTCCTAGAATTGTTTCTATATCATTTTTTCAGCAGTTCATTAAACCTAAACTACCTGCTCTCCTCATGTTTCAGCTCAAGCTCATTTCGAGGTTGTTTTCAAACATTATTCCAATGTAATTTTGGCCCATCTATCCTGTCCTGCCGAATTTGCATGAGACCTAGTCYGGGAAGAGCTCGTTTGAAATGACATTCAAGTGCTGTTTTAATATTTGGCTGCAGTTAATGTGGATGCAATTAGTTGACACTTGCAAATCTTCGGGTTAAAAGCCCTGTAAGAAATKCAGGAAGCTGAGCGCACACCCGAGGCCAAGCCCTCAGCTCCTGTAGGGTGATGAACAAGARCTGGACCGCCACCACCTTGTCCTCCCAAAGCTCCTGCCCCACACCCATCAGATGTGATGGTGAAGCTTTATCGYGTGTTTACATTGACTTCACAGGAGCTCCTTCTGCCCTGAGAGCACAAAACCCTTCTGGCTAAGATGGGCTCACACGTACAGAATGGATTGGTATATCCCATTGGAAAAAAATATTCAGTCTGACTGAGCCTCCTCATTCCCATATCAGCCCTCTGTAACACTTTGTGTTGTTTTGGATCGCAGTAACTCAGACTAGCCTGGCTCGCCGTGCCCCAGACACATGCATTTTTAATCCACATCCAGACCAAGTGCGTTGTGCAATAGGCTTCCCGCTTCCAAAAAACAAGAGATAACATGTACAGCTGCCTAGTCCATTCTTGCCTGAACCAAAGACAAATTAAGACCAGCCCAGGTTCCAGGGCAGGAGAGGATCATTGTAAGGCAAATGAGACCTTGGCTCCTCACGCTTCTCGATTTCGGCAGCAATTAGGAGGCTGAAACCCAGACCTGGGAATGCTTTTCACGGTGTTTTTACGGGAGCAGAGGATAAGGGCACTTCGCAGTAGCTTAGGCTTGGCCCGCGGCAAACACGTGGCAGAGCCGGCCGTGAGCGCCTCCTTCTCCAGCATCCCCAGCAGTGCCGGGCTGCAGCAGCCACACCGTGCCACCCGCCTCAGGGCAAGATCATTGATTTTTCATTAGAAAAAAATGCAGCCACGATGCTGTTTCTCCTTGCTCTTCTGCCAACCCTTAAGACATCTCCTGTGAAGAAGCCTGCAGTAATCACTTCACCTTAAATGTGCCTCTCCACCAGTTTTGGAGAGCCCGGGTGTGCTGTGGCTGTTCCTGAAGTGGAGCAGGGAAGCTTCCGGACTGAGGGGCGGCTGCAGGAGGGGTGGAACTGCAGCTGCTCCATATTGATGGGATGGGAAATTGCAGGACAACCCAAGAAAGATCACACTCCTCCCCATACAATTCCTCATGTTCTGTTTTAAAACTCACTCCCACCTCCCTGTAAATCGGTGCTAGCTCAGTCATCATTCATTATTACATAAGTGACTCTTTTGCTTYCTGAGACCTTTTCCTTGAGCTCCCTGAGAAGCAGAGTACACATATTCAGGGCTCTCCAGCCCTTCCTGACAATTCCACTTTCATCTGTGCATGAAGTCTGCTTTCATATTGTCTCTTTAAGTGCTAAGAGCAAGTGTTTTGATGTTAACTTCTGGGAACGAGCTCTTAAGCTACCACCTCACGCTTAATTACAGTTATTTATTAAGTACTCCAGCATATCCAAGGGAGAACGGAGGTTTTCTCCTTCAAAGGGTTTCTGGATGTGGTTCGTTAAATACATTTTGCCAGCACAGTGCTTTTCCTACCAATGTGCTCTTGGACCATGGARCTCTCTCCCCTGCTGATAACCCCACAGCACAGGGGCCATGGGGCCTCCCTCCAGCCACACAGCATATCTTTAGGGCAGGGAGTCACTCCCCTCAATTGTTCTCAGGTGACTGCAGCCACACTGTGTTCAAACACGCAGCTGGCTCTGCCCCACATTCCCAGCAGGATGAGCGYTGCCATACTGTCCAGCTAAGGGTGGTGACACTAATGCTGCCACTCTTACTGCTGCCAGGTGGTGTGGTGGTGGGCATAATTTAGCTCTTTTTCAGTGCAAATAAAAGCCCAGGACAAAGCCAGRTGCTGTGACACTCTTCCCTTTTCTGAAGCAGAATTGGGCGGTGCTGAGGGCCTGGGACAAGGGCAGGGCAGCACCAGGGCAGTCTTGCAGCAGGATGGGCTCCGATTCCTCTGGCACCACTTAAGCTGGTGGTGTGGCCGTGGTGTGRGAGCAGCAGCCAGAGTCCTGCTGGCTCCCACAGGGTCAGCCCTGCAGAGATCCCAGACACTGACAAGGCCAAACACTACTTCAAAGCACAAACAGCTTCAGCCTTCTTAAAATGTTCCAGAACAAAGATCCTACCAACMCACTGAGCAGCAGGTGCTTGGGAACAAGGGCTTATTAGGAGTGACCACAATGCCCAGTTTATGGCCTTTTGCTGCTGTAGGGAAGCAGAAAAAAAGCTTCAGGATAAGCGTGCCTAGGGACAAGCAAACTTGCTCTTAGCCCCACAGTACACAGGATGTGAACACAGATCGCACGGGTCTAGCCCTAGACACCTCTTGGCACAAAATGAACAGTCTTATCTTGATACCTGTGTTTRTTTGCCCAGCTCCAAACCTGTTTCAGAAGCAGAAGAGCCTGCCTTGCCCCACTCCTGCCTCCTGCAGATGCCACCTCTGGTCCCAGAAGCCAAAGGGCCCAACTAGGCTAATCCACTCTGTAGCCCAGG